AAATAATTAAGATTTCTAAGTTATATAAAGTTGTAGGTAGTGTTGAGGATATTTAATTAGTTTAGAAATTCAACTTTGTTACTTAAAATATGGCAAGGGCTTTTTTTCTCCTCTTTAAACAATTTCAATTTGATTCGTATTTTTTCTGTTTTAGAAGAAATAATGTAGGATTATTATTATTATTATTTTTTTAGTTTCTGAACCAATATGTTATACTCCTACCATATTAATCAATAAGCTTTTCTTGTTTTATTTATTTACTTCATGTTTTTGTAGTATGACGAATAATCACTTCTTTAATCTTATAAAATCATCATTAAACTTTAATAATAATTTATAAAAAGTATTAAATGAGAAAACTTTATAAATAGGTTATAAAATTGATAAAGGAATATATAAAAAATATAAATTACTTTCAAAGTTTATAAATCAATTTTAAGATTCTTAAATAATGAATAAATGATAATAAAGATTTTAAAATATTTAATCACATTTAGTAATAAAACCCCTCAACTAAATATGAATCGTAACAAAAACCCTCAACTAAAGATTTAGTGAAATAAACCCTCAACTTTAGTTCTGTTAATATATGTTACCCTCCGTCTAAAATTCTGTGACGGAGGGTGACAAACATTAACAGAACTAAAATTGAGGGTTTATTTCACTAAATCTTTAGTTGAGGGTTTTTTTTACGATCCATCTTTAGTTGAGGGGTTTTATTACTAAAAACCCTTTTTTCTATGACTGAAAGGTAAAACATGTGCAAACTGTTCAAAAGTATGAAAAATCCTATCTGACCAAATAAATTTTGAAGATGTCTCTTTTTCCAATTTTCCCTTTTAAATATATCCAAAATAAAAATTCACTCATATCTTCGCTTATAAGTCCGGACAAACGGTGGATTGTCAAATCGAATTTCCTCAAAAATTAATACACTTTTTTTTGTCACTTGTATTGATTTTTGAGGAAATTCGATTTGACAATCCACTGTTTGACTTATAAGCGAAGATGAGTGAATTTTTATTTTGGATATATATTTAAAAAGAAAAGTTGAAGAAAAAATAAGACATCTTCAAAATTTATATAATATCGATGAATGTGTGTTGTAACAGTGCTCACTCTCAGATGTCAAGAAACAAAATCTCCAAAAGATTTACCTCAACAAAACCTAACATAATTTAGGTAAATTAGATTTAACTATCTACCTTTTATGAAATAAACAGGTCATCCTGAATCTTTATCGTCAAAACCAATTCAAACCAAAACCAATCATAAACCCTATTTTCAAGAACAAAGCTCTTTATCGTCATCGCTATCGGGAACGTAAAGACTATTTTTTTTTTTTGGTAAACATGTTAAAACGTAATGACTAATTATTAGAATAGAACAGATTGAATCCAGAGGTAACTACATCACATCTTGATTTGGGGAAACCTAATAGCTTAAACCAAACAAAATCAAAGACCCTTTTAAATGTTAAATCAATGAACTTTTTGCCAACAAAAAGATTTAAGAAAAATAATAAGAAAAAAAAAGAACATGGAGAATGAGAAAAGAAAATAGTGTATATATATATCTTCAAAAATCTAATTATTATTGGTTTTTGTTCATTTCACCGTTATTGCTCCGATTCAGTTGATGCAAGGCGGGATCCAATCCCTGCTCACAAACCAGCAAGTAAGACTTCGTGGATGTGTTAGACAATTGGTTCCCGACCTGCACCAAGCGAATCCGAGCCCGACGGTGACTCTTATCATATTATCTCAAAGGAAAAAACGAAGACTTACTGCTGCAACAAAATTTAAAGAAAGAACAAAGACAGAGAGAAGAAAAAGTTCTGGTTTGTAACGGCGAAATGAGGCAAAGAGGCCTTGTTGTGTTTAGAACCCTAGCATCATTTGTAGGGTATTTAAGACAGTTATTAAACCACTTTTACTGACACGTGTTTCTTATTAGAGAAAGTCCTCACTTTTACACCATTGACTATTGACTATGGAGATATGAATTAGATTTTTTACCTTTTTAATAATGCAAAATTATGGAATGCGTACATGAATTAATCCAGGTGAGCGTATCTGCACATGTGACGTGGAACTACTTCTGGGTCTTCCACTTTTGACTTTTATCATGTGAATAGCTGATCTTTGTGTTTGAAATTTTTGTTTACAGAGTTTTATCTAATTATAAATTAGAATTGCATCTATAATTTATGTATTTTAAGTTTACATAATTTTATTTTAATGTGATATTATATAATTATATTTAATGTGCTTTTACAGAATTTTTAATTAAAAATTATAATTACATAGTTTTACATATTTTAAATTATAGCTGTTTTTTATTTTCCCTTGGACTTAGAATCTTTTTTTTCTTTTGCAGAAAGTATTGATTTATTTAGATATTTTAATTAGTTTTAAAATTTTAATTTTAATTTCTTAGAAAACTATAATTAGTATTATATAAATATTTTTAAGATAAAATAATTATGAGAAATACCAATTTTAGTTTTATTATATATAAATTTCATGAATTAAAGCAAATACGTTAATATGAAATATGTATTATGTTCATTTGTGATAGTTTTGTTTTACAAAATAACATATGTTTATATAAAATCTTTTTCGTCTGTTTAATATTATATAGTAAAACTAATATTTATAAGCGTAACTATAATAATCAAATATTTGAAATAATAATTTATTTAATTGGTGTGTTTTGCTTTTGTTTTAATTTATTTTAAAAAAATTAAAATAATAATGGATTGAACCACATGTCTCTCATTAAACAATTTTTAATATAAAAGAGTTATTGTGTGTTAAAATTGACTCCTATTTTATTAATATATTATATGATTGATGAAATAATCCATATACATATATATCATAAAAATATGAACGGTATCCTGTTCAATTATACCATAGCAAAATATAAATATTAATTAATATAAATGTTATTAGTATAAAATATTTTGTTTTCATCAATTAGATATATTTATCTAATTTTTAATATCCAAATGTTAAAAGTAACTTATAAATTATAACTAATATTCCTTGATTTAATATTTACTTTTAACATATTTTTATAAGGTAAATATTATATTAACATTACAAAAGTTTTTTGTTTGTTTTTGTCTATATGTATGTTATTTTAATTTTATAATTGATAAATTAATTAATGCATTAATTTATTTAATGATATTTATTTTTAATTTAATATCTAATATATATATATATATATCATATAATAAATTATATATTCTATTTATTTTTAACAATAAAAAATATATTGCATATAAATTGAAGTTAAATTAATATCAATGAATAATTATAACTTATTATATTTAGATATTTATAAAGTTTTAATATTTTCTTTAAAACTGTCTATTTATATTAGTTTAATAATAGTAAGGTTTTATTAAATTGCAATATTATAAAATATGTATGAATTTATAAATATATATATAATATATATATATATATATATATATTAGTGGTCAGTCTGCGCTACGTGCACTACAAGATAACTGTCGGACACCAGATACCTACGGTAAAAACCGTCAGGATTCGGTCGGGAAACAATGATTCCGATAAAATCCCGACGAAAACGGTCATCGGTATGATTTCACCGGGAAACAGAAATCCGTCGGTATTTTGTTGGGAATTTCTGACGGCTTACTGACGGATACAATTCCGGCGAAACCCTGACGAACAATTGCGTCGAGAAATTATAACCCGACCGGTGTCTCTCTCGTCGGGATTTTTAGAAAATACCGACAAACACAATTCGTCGAGAATTTTTGAAAATCACGATGAACCATGCCTTTCTGGATTCTTAGAAAATCATGACGGATTGGTTTCGCCGGAATTTGCTAAAATTCTGACAGGTTGTTTTCGTCGGAATTTTCTAAAAATCCCGACGGGCATAGTTCGTCGGGATTAGTAGAAAATCCTGACGAACAAAATCCTTCGGGATTTTTATATAATCCCGACGAGTCCTTTCCATCAATAGTTTAAAAATCCTGAAGGATTCCTCCGTCAGGAATAGTTTCTGTATAATAAAAAATATAATTTTATATAACTGTAATATAAATTAAAATTGTAAAATGAAATGATAATGAAAAGTTTAAGAACATTAGTAGTTGTAATTCAAAACTGTACATAAAAGTTATATAAAAGGTTTTTGAATATAAAACAACAAATAAAAGTCTTCACCAAAACGGGTCTTAAACTTCTCCAACAAGCTCTGCGTGAGAGCCATGTTATCTTGCAGCGCTGTCCGGTTTTGTTGCACCTCAACCTGCTTTTCAGAATTTTTCGTTCTTCAGCAATTCAATCTCTAAATCCTTGGTCTTGATCTACTCCATAAGGTCATCAACGAGCGTGTATACGTGAACTGAAGAAGAAGAAGAAGAAGAAGAAGAAGAAGAAGAAGAAGAAGTCCCTCCGATTGGACGAGCTAACCCAACATAACGGCCTTTGTTTTTTGGAACTGCCGGAATGAAAAATAACATAAGATAGAATAACAATCACATATATATAAATATTAATACAAAAAAAATTAGGATGTACCTCGAGGACAAGGTTGTTGAGTTGCTTTATGGTTAAGGTGTTGGAAGAAGCAGAAGATCCGTCTTCACACATAGAAGCCTGAGTTGAAAGGATCTCTTCTTTTTGGGTCTCCACGAGCTGGAGTACCTCCTTAATAACTGGATCCTGAATCTCGCCAGTTTTTTTGTTGGTGTAAGCGGACTTCAATAACTTAGAAATTAATAAGAAATTAAAATTTTAGACTTACTAGCTGAAGTGCTCGGGTCGGTAAACTCGTCGCTCCTAAGTTGTGGACATAAGCCCCTTTTCCGCCACGCTTACTACGCCGATTACCCAAGTTGGTTTATGACAAAGACTTTGTATCGTCTTTCTCCCAATGAGCCAACAAATCCTTCCAAACGGTTGGGTTCATGTGATTTCGGTACCTATTCAAGTTCCCATTTTTGCTTCCACTCATTGATACGCTTGGTGTAGTGCCAAGCCGCTTTCTGATGAAATGCATTTTCCACCCGTTTTGTTAACCCCGATTCCCAAGTGAACTCTTGCTGCAAAATAGATGCAATCAAATTAAAAAAGTTGCAAATATAGGACTTTAAAAAAAATTAAGATTGAGACTTATACTGCAAATTGACGAAACCAGAGGTTGCGAACTGCCGTAGGCATGTCGTAGTAAGTAGGATAACCACGCTTTAGCAATAGTTGTACTCCATCCTAAAAAGACTTTGAGAGATACCATTGCCATACAATTCAAACCTACGAAATAAAATCAAACACAATTAATAGTAAAAGTTGAATTTAAAATGAAATAAGATTTAAGAGATATATTTACCATGTTGGGTTTGAGACATATAGATCATTTGAATCGAGGCCGTGAGCGAGTCTAATATATATATATATATATATATATATATATATATATATATATATATATATATATATCTCATATGATAAATTATATATTTTATTTAGTTTTAACAGTAAAATTTATATTGTATATAAGTGAAGTTAAATTAATATCAACGAATAATTATAACTTATTAATATTTAGATATTTATGAAGATTTAATATTTTCTTTAAAACTGTCTATTTATATTATTTTAATTAGAGTAGGGTATTATTACTGGTCGGTCTGCGCTACTTGCATGATGTATTTCTTTTATGTTTTATATTAATAACAGATTTATCACATGTAATCGTTAATATATCAATCTATCAGTAAGAGTTGTTTCGCAATCACCGTTGTAGGTGATTACTTGTGGTAAATTTAAGTTACTGGATAAGCGGTTAAAAAAATAAAAATCATCATTTCGAAATTGTATTTGAGCTTTTGTACTTGAGATATATTGTTTAATTAAGTGTGTTGTTGTTTTGTATATATAATAAAATGTAATTTTTGCCGAACGAGTACATTGATTGAATAATATGTGAAAGTTAAACGATAATGTCTTTTTAGCGACAAAGAACGTGAATGGTGTAGCTCATAGTTCTGTAGATATTTTTGAGTGGCTTTGTCAGGGATTGGTGATGATCGCATGAAGTTACGGATTAGTTAACCTGATGGATGATAAAAATTCCATTTTTGTCTATATTTTGGAGTAAATGACTTCTAGAATTTTAAAGGAGGTCTTTTAATATCACTCAAATGTTTAACCCTAAGAAGTGAGTTACTCTCTCAAATAAGAGGTTCAGTTGTAGTACTTAGGGATCGAATCCACATGAAACTAAGGAATACAATAGATATAATCTAAATGATTATGCTAGGTTGAATAGGTTTAAAATAGTAAAGTTGCAGTTTTGTAAGCAATGGTAAGTTGCTTAAGAGAATGGATTTTAGGTTTGAAACAATAAAAGAAAGTAGTTAGATTCAAGGTTGCTATTCAGATAATCAGGATTATAATGCTATAAATGTTTTAATGAATTACTTGCAAGATATATGAGAACTTTGATTCTTAGATAGATCTAATAGCAGTCGCTAAATAGACATATCCATTGGTCTTATTTCCAGCAATATCGACCGATGTTTTGGCAGCGATATCAGACGATATGGGTTGCTGTCGATCGATAACTCTATAGTAGTATCGATCAATATAACATAAGATCGAATCGAAACTGTGTTCACCAAGATCATAGACCGGCTCTCGCACAACCCTAGAGGATCTAAGCTCATGCCAAATGATTTCTGGACAATGATTAACAAGTTAAATCACATCCATGATCATACTCTAGGTAGCTACTCTAGAGTAAGCATTAGGGTTCATCTGGATAATGAATATCAACAATTCAACATTCCATAGTTGGGGCTAATCCCTCCTAACTATTTGAACCCTAAATCTAACAAAGAGATCTACTCAGACATAGCTGAGAGATTCATAACAACAAGGTAGTAATAGAAACTCATAGATAGAGGATTGAACTTTTGGTTCTTAGAACAACAAATCTCTTTGTGTGTTTCTTCTAAATATAGAATTCTAAAACCTTTAAGAAGTTAAGATGAAAAGAAATACTTTATAGAATAGAACAAAGTAACAAGAAAAGTATGCAAAACTTTTCAAGTACAAAAAGTATCAAAATGCATGTAAAAGCACAAAAGGTATCAAAAAGCACATCTAGCCAAACACAATGGCGAAAACTATAAATAAGAGTTCCATTAGGTTAAAAACTCGTCAGGGGCATTATTGTAATATTGGGAAGACTTGGGCTTCAAGTCGGCCAAGTTGAACTTGTTCTCCACGCATCATATCGATCGATGGTACATGGTGTACATCGATCAATGGAGTATCTTGACTTCATCTTCAATAGAAGCGTCATCGATCGATTACACAGGGTGTGTATCGACCGATATGTGTCCTCATTGTCTAATCTTCATAGTCATCTCGGAAAACTCTCCTTTAAGCTCCAAAAGGGCACCTAAATCATCATTTTACTCCAAAGTGCTCCTGAACCTGAAAACATACCTAATAGACTCCAAAACATATATAAAACTCATAAAAACATATCAATACCATGGCTAAAAGCGGGTCAAAATCATGGTATATCATATTTGATGTTAGAGAATGGCAGATTTGCATCAATTTTAAAAGAGAGATTTTCGGCAAAGGTTGTTGGATTGTAGTGGAGGTCGCTAGACTTTTACATCTGTGTAAAACAACACAAGAAATTTTTGTTGAGTTTTGTGTGAGTTAATGAAATGATTTATCGAGAATGGTAATTTAGTAGTAACATTGTAGGTTAGCGTAGGTGGATTTTAGTTAATACATCAAACCTTTACTACAAAACTGAGAAAAATTGGCTTGTAATTGTTAAATTCGAAACGACATTGTGTTTGTATCTGCTTTGATTTTGTATTGGCTTTGAGAAAAACAAATAGATTATTGTCGTGATTGATTTTTAATTTATATATTTATATATTATAATTATATTAACATGAACAAATTTATTAATTATGTTTTATTAAAAAATATGATGTATTTTATAGTTTATGATGTAACTTTGTGTACTTTTTCAATTTCTTCACACGTATAACCCTTACAAGATTATTTATAACATATAATAGTTATTTATAAAAAATATACATATATAAATATCAAATTATTAAAATTAGATATTTGAATGAGGTGATATATATGAAGATAATATGATATTTATTACTGAGTGTATTTATCTTCCATAATTTAAAATATTAAAAATATAAATATATCAATAACTAAATTTCACAATTTGTTATTTAAGAAAAAATGTGTATGAATTTTTTATCATTATAAAACTTAAAGCTGATATGTGTTAAAGACATGATTTATTATATAACAATTTATGAACAATTTAATTTATCGTTAATATAATTAAAGCTCTAGTGATTTCATAAGAGCTTGAAAGATGTACTCGATTTCATAATTTCAGACTTATGGTGATATTTATCGTTCTACTTTTTATATTTTAATAATTTTAGGATGGGAATAGTATGTAGCGAGGGTTAGATTTTTTTACCTAATACATTAGTCGAAATTTAATTATCATAACATGAATGTATGCAAACTAAGCTAATAAATTATAGATACTTAGAAAAAAAAATTATAGATACATAAT